ACTAAAAAAAAGTTAAAAACATAACAAAACTCTATAGCTAGAAGTAAAGTAATATAAAAAATAATAAGCCATGTAAATTTTGAAAACACACATGGAGTCTGTATCCTACATATTGCTTTATTGAACTTGAGTTTTTTGACTGCTATAACCAAAGGGCAGCAGGCTGACAGACATGGGATTGTGAACTAGACTGTTAAGTGGAACCAATCTGCTTTAGGTCTATCTTAACCTTTAAAAAGAATTTTTAAAAATTAATTTCCTTGGAGAAGAGCTTTTGTTTTTATTTCTACAAAAAACAAAAACTGTAGATTCCTTCCAGGTTGATAAGTATCAGGTTTGATTGGGCAAGGGCTGCTGATATTGACAGGTGATATATATCAGCAAAAGATATATCTTGTCTGTCAGGACTTGGCAATTATCTCAATATTTACAGGGACCCCTAAAGAAGCCTTCACCCACAGATATCAGGAAACAATTTGGAGAACATGAAACCTATATTCCAAAAAGATGGAGTAGATGGTTGTTGGATATTTGGTGGGTTATGGATGTTTGTTATCATTAAAGAAATATAGCAATATAGGATAAGAAGACAATTATTAAACTCCATTATTTTGCATAGGCATTGATTTTCGTATATTTATACAAATTTAGAGTTATTTTTGTTATAATGTATATATATTTCTACTTTTATTTTGTGTATTGTGCTTATACAGCTCATTTAGAAATACAATGTATAATTAGGATATGGGGTGTGTAGTTAATCTGTACTAATGAGACTTTTAGTTATATCAGATATGTTTTCAAGGTTAAGCAAGTATATTTTAGACAGATAGGTGATTATTAAACACTTAAAATACCTATAGAGTGTGGCAGTTAATATGTTTAATAACCTAAGGTTTTGCATGATAATGAGACACATCTGCTTTTGGCTTCAACAATTTACTTCATAAAAGAATGATGGGAATTGAAGAAACTCCATATGGAGTTTGTTTTCAATGTGGGAAGTATAGCACATAAGAAAAAGACTGTTAAAGTTTGCCAAGAGAAGGTGGAACAGTCCTTCAAGAATCCTGCTTCACAGAAAAGTCTGACAAACATTCTACATGACACAGAGGAAAGTGACTGTCAGACTTTGACAATACAAGGTAGAACAGTCCTTCAAAGTTTCTGCTTCACTGAAAATTATGCCAGATATGCTAGGCATGTAGGCTAAAAATAGATGCCCCAACATTGCAAAGGAACATTGGGGGAATGTCCAGGAAACTAGATGTCTTTGTTGTTAGGTAATATTACATCCATCTGTGATCTTTGGTGGAGATAAAGACTAAATAGAGTTATAGTTTTAGTTAGGCATGATAGAAAATAAATTAGGCATAAAATTTCAGAATCACTAACATAAGATGATTAATGGAGTATTTTATTTTGAATTTGCTAAATACAAAGGATCTGAATTGTAAATGTAACTCTTACTCGATAACTGCTTTTTATATTTATTTATTTGAAGTGGGAGTGTTGTTATCTATCTGTTGCTTTCATTGGTTAATTAATAAAGAAAACTGCTTGGCCTGATAGGGCAGAATTTAAATAGGTGGAGTAGACTGAACAGAATGTTGGGAGAAAGAAAGCCGAGTCAGGCAGTGGCCATGATTCTCCCACCCGACACAGATGCAGGATAAGAATCTCCCAGTTACGCCACACCTCGTGGTTCCATACAGATTATTAAATATGGGTTAAAGCAAGATGTGAGAATTAGCTAATAAGAGGCTAGAACTAATGGGCCAGGCAGTGTTTAAAAGAATACAGTTTCTATGTAATTATTTCAGGTAAAGCTAGCCGGGTGGCGGGAAGTGGCCCGCCGCTCCTACCACTACATTTATTTATTATGTATACAATATTCTGTATGTGTGTATGCCTGCAGGCCAGAAGAGGGTACCAAACCCCATTACAGATGGTTATGAGCCACCATGTGGTTGCTGGGAATTGAACTCAGGATGTTTGGAAGCGCAGGGAATGCTCTTAGCCTCTGAGCCATCTCTATAGCCCCCATAACTGCTTTATTTAAAAAAAATATTCTCAGCTCAAGTTTATTACTTACTAGCTCTTGCATTTTAAGTTAAACCTTATCCCTTATTTACACTCTGCCATGTGGCAGTACCTTTATTAGGTTGACATATTAATTTACTGCTCCTTCTATATCTGACTGGTGATTCCAGACACTGTCCTTCTTCCCAGCATTCATAGATTGGCTATTCC